CAGTTTAGGCAAAAAGAAAACAGCAAATTTTAATTAGAAAAGCGATATTGTCAGATATAAACTAAATTCAGCAGAGCCAGAGCTTAAATTGGTACAGCTTGAGTATAGGACCCTATTGGCGATTTTTGGCTTGGCGCACTTTTTGGATGGTTGTTTTTCTTGGTAACCCAGTAAATTCTAGAATACTCACTCCACTTCGGCAACCCTGTCGCAAGAGTCATTTTCTTCGAAGGAGCAAACTATTGATGTATTCAAAAAATTTTCTAGAAATTATAAGGGACATATATTGAGCAGAGTATAGGATTTCTTTATAAATTTACATGATTTTTAACTTTACTAAATTTCCAACATTTCTTTTATTTTTAATTTAAATTTATTTGATCCTGTTTCAGTTTATAACTAAAAATTGCATTTTAATATTGCTGCTTAAATATGCCTTATGTACTTGTGTATTTTCAAATTTCTCTACTTTAATTTAAAATGCATTCTTAACTCCTATTTTCATATTTTTAATTTAACTGTTTCGAGTTAGTTTCAATTTTACAGCTGTAATTGTATTCAGGAGACTCTAAAATATGCCTCCATTATTTATTTATTTTCAGTTTCAGTTTAAATATATATTCTAAATCTTGTAAAATGTGCACTAACATCTATTTCAATTTTAACTGCTTTTAAAATGCAATAAAAAGAATAAATTTACAATTTAACTTGCCAATATATTTTAAAATATTGCCCCTACTTAGTTACACCTTCAAATTGCTGTTTAAAAATATTCTGAAATTGTTTCTGGTTAAAACGTGCTTTCTAACTTGCGTTTTCAATTTTAACGCCTTTTCCATGGCTTGGCGACATTTCTGGTCGCCAAACCAAAAAAATCACCAATGGAGTCCTATACTCAAGCTGTTCCAAAAATATAATATTTTTGCTGCCCAACAGTTGCGCACGAACAATTTTTTTTTTTTTTTTAATTTAGACTGTGGTGTTTTTCGTGTTACTGAAAAATTATTCCTTTGCACTGAACGTGGCACGATTAATGTTCAGAATACTTGTGAATGTGTTTCACCAAGAAAGTGAGTTACTAAATTAGGAATTAATCATTTGAAGCCTGCACCAGGTAAGAGAATAAAATTACTTTTGTTCTTATTATGGCAGACGATATTATTAAATTGAAATCTGCTAGAAAAGTTCTGAGACAAGCTATTTTTATAATAAATGTTGTAGATTCTGAAATTAAAAAGAGACATTTGGGATAAGAATATGGTAGAAGAAAATGTGTTTTTACTTACCTATAAACAGTCTGCGTTGAAAGAAATTAATGAAAAAATATTGGATTGTTTAAAGGGGATGAGTCTGAAATTGAGAAAGAATGTAATTTTTGTGTTAGAGTATGATGAAAAAATAAGTTTAGTATTTTTAGGGCTAAAAAGAAAATTTAAATTCTCAGATAGTGAGCATTGAAAGTGAATCCTGGTAAAAATACTGCTGCGTAAAGGTCGAAAACAAAAAACATTCGATTACCTAAATTTCAATTCCTAAATATTATGGTGATCCTAGTTTATTTTTGGAATTTTATAATTCCTTTGTAAATGGTATATAATATGAGTTAACAAGGTCGAGAAGTTACCTATCTTAAATCCTTAACGCAATACCTGCTTTAAGTGCAGTATCCGGGTTTGCATTCTAAAAAAATATGACGCTTCGTAAGTTTAATTAAGTGACGAAGATTGGTAATATCTTCGCACATGAGTAACTCTTGAATCTTGAACGGTAGAAGTTCGCCAATGTGAAAACTAAGAACTCTATTAGATCCCAGTGAAATCAATATAAGAAGATTAAATTATTAGGATTGTGTCGGACGTTACGGAACCCTTTAGGACCTGTTTTTACAGCTTACGAAGTGAATTGAGTTTAACAGAAAAGAAACTCTAAACTCAATACAGTCAAATCGGTAATCCAGACTTGTTGGGACTCGGCGATCTGGATTATCGATTTTTCGGATTTAGATCATCAGTTAAATTGTAAGATGGATGCGAATTAAAAATTAAAAATATGAAACCGTAATTTATGAAATAAAGAACAATTATGATCTAAAGGTTATCAAAATTTACAAAAAAAAAGCTTAATATTTTTGTTTTTTTTACATTTCTTTCAATGTAAGTTGTTAAAGTACTTCGTTTTTTTGTGATCATACATTCTCTTTAATTCTAAAAGACATAATTTCTTATTCAGTTACAAAGTTCCGCTGTTCAGTTCTAAACTGCTGTGCGAGAATACGACTAATTGTCAATGAATTTTTGCGTTTTCAATAACATCTGTCACTTTTCGCTATCGAAGGAATATTATGACGAGGAATGATTTAATCATATCAAAGATTATACATCACCTCGAGAGAAATACGACATTAATAAGGAAAAGAAGCCAAAATAAAATAAAAACATCTCCCGAGATAAGGATAGTGCTGACAGATCAAATTCAATTATGCTGAGCGTAAAGATAAACAAATTTAAATAAACAGTTAAAGTTTAGATAAACAAGGCTATGCCTGTATCCATTTTTTGTAGCAATTCCACGTTTTTTAATGAACTTCGAAACATACTTTTGCTTTGAGATCATTTACAAAATAAATATATCAGAAATTCTATTGGCATAATCTAAAGTCAAGCTTATTTTATTAAATTGCTCTAACAGTCTGCAAAAAATAATAAGCCGAGCATCGAAGATTAGGACAACGCAATCTGCAACATTACAGAAATAGAAATTAAATAATTTTGTTAGCGATACGTCGTTATACATTAAAGTGCACTTCATCCTGCGATGTGTAAGGTTTAAATCATAATAAGCTATTTGTAAAAATATTCTTCCTAAAGTGGAAACAGTTCAGATGTTAAACAGAAAGTGGTTACAGTATCAGATTCTAAGCAGAATGTAGTTGCATCCCTGTTGTTTAACTCTGGACTGTTTCTGAAACTGCTGATAAAGGTGTATATTTACAAACTGCACTGTTACGCTTCAGATACAGATAAATACTAGAAGCAAATAGTAAAAATTTAATGATGGTGGATCCAGAGGTCATTTATTAGATCTGATTGGCTAAAGAACTAAAATTAAGGACTTTAAGGAAAGAAAGGTTATATATTATTCATTTGGGTATAGCCAAAGTAGACTAATAGAATATAATGTGTTCAAATTACCCTGAAAAGTATGCATTTCCTAAGACTCAATCACTATTGAAGCTCTTGTACAGATACATTCTGGAGCGATATAAAAATTCCCTCAAAACATTTAGAAATATAAAATTAGAAAATCTAAATTAGCCGATAATGGTGAAGCAGCTGAAATAAAAAATTGTTAGGATCTGATTCATGTTGGGAAGTGCAACAGGCGAAAAGAAAAGAGTAACTAATAAATATTTGCGGTGTCTTCTATATTGGTTGGTCCTAGTTGGATCTTTAGAAGGCCTGTATTTTACAACTGGTGCTTCTCATGCTTGAAGGAAGATAATAATTCAGTTAATGACTGTTTGTGAAAGTTTGGATTTTGGACCATTTGGGTTTAGAGGAGAACAAGAATCCTGACGATAAATCAGTCATTGAGAAATTTGAAAAAGAATTGCATTTTACTGATGGTAGATATGTAGCGCTCATTGTTATGGAAATCACATTTGCAACTTGGATATTAATTTAGAAAATGAAGCGACGTCTAGTATCTTTGGTTAATAACTAAAAAGTGATGAATGGCTTAGGGCGAATTATGATAGCATAATAAACGACAGTTAAAAAATGAAATAATGAAGATGCGAAATTGAAAGTTGTGATAGTAGTAAAGGTATTACATGCCACATGCTCCAGTTGTAAGAAAAAATGTATCAAAAACTAAAGTCCATATCATGTTTGACGCAATCTTCGAAGTGTAATGGGGTATCTCTGAAACAATGTTTGATGCTGGTCCAAATTTGAATCCTTCTGTTTGGGCTTGATATTGCAGTTCAGACAATACAAACATGTGTTCTCAGCAGACATTGAAAAGGCCTTTCTCCAGATTGGAATATCTGAAATTGATAGAGATGCATTACGGTTTTTATTACTTTGATAATATTACAATTTGAAAACATTATAGAATGACTCGCGTTCCTTTCGGTGTATCATGTAGCCCTTTCATTCTTGTTACACTATAAAAAAAGCATATAAAGAAAATAGAGTTAGAAAATCCAGATATTTTTTAGATGTTGAACTGTTCGATTAAGTAGATGATGTTTCTATGTGCAGATTCTGTGGAACCGGCGTAAGTTAAGTACTGGAGCCTATTGCAGATTAAGAGTCGAATGAATTTGCTCAGTTAATACAATTCCGAGAACTAAAGAAACTTTGGGATGATTGTGGAATAAAATCAGAAATGAACTAAATAGTTTCTAAAGTATTAGGGCTAATTGGTGTCGAGTAAGATGTATTTCCTTGAACCTAGACAAACTTGTGCGAAACATTAAAAGTTGTAGAAAAACCACAAAAGAAATATATTAAAGGTGATGCTTTTAGATCCAGTAGGTTTCTTGGCGCCATTTGTATTACATGCAAAATTGATAATGCAAACCTTTGGCATTGGTTTAGAATTTGAGGATGTAGTTTCAACTGAATGTAAGCAGTTTGTGGTGCAAGTGGAGCGGAAATTGAAAAGTTAAAGAAATCTGAAATTTCTCGAGAAATTTCCGGCAAATTGAATTAAAATAAGGATACGAACTTCATTTATTTTGTGACGCATCTATTAAAGCTTATGGTTTCAGTTGCATATTTAGGTCAGTGAAGAGACAGGTAGCTCATTATGGCAAAATCTAGAATTGTGCCAATAAAACAAAACCACACTTCCAAGGTTAGACTTGCTAGAAGCATTAACATCAGCAAGACTGCTAAAACATTTAAAAGAGCTGTTTTCAATTCATGAAGAAAATATTTATCTGTGCACTGACAGTATGATAGTGGTTCACTAGATTCATAGTGCTCCTGAATGATGGAAAATGTTTGTAAAAAACTGAGTATCTGAAATACAATTATTAACTTGCCCAAATAACTAGAGACATTGTAATGGGAAATTCAATCCAGCGGACATTTTATCTCGAGGATGTTAAGTGGAATATTTGTTGTCTTCAAGATTATGACAGTCTGTACCAGATTGGTTAGTTGAATCAGTGAGTTAAATTTATTGCAACGACGGAGTTTTCTGATGCTGAATTAGAGCAGAAAAAGTGTATGAATAATGATATGACAATACTACTGTCTATTGCAGAAAAATCTACTTCTCTGTTGAATCTTGAAGTAAATTAATTAGAGCTATTAGAGTTACTGCATGGATATTTAGGTTTATTCACAATCTGAAAAATCAAACTGACAAGAGAACTGGACCCTTGATAGGAGAAGAACTTTTTACCGCTGAATTATATTTGATAAAAGAAGTTCAATATGAACATTTTTCTGATGAAATTAAAAGCTTAAAGTCTGGACAGTTGATTTCAAAAAGCTCAAACATTTATGAACTAATCCTTTTCTAAGTGAGGAAAGGGTTTTGTTAGTAGGGGGAACACTACAAAATCAACTTTAAGTTTTCATGAAAAGATCCTATAATTATCCTTCAAAAACTCATTCACAGATTTCAGTACGTGATGCACATGAACGAGTTCTTCATACATGGTAGCTAGTAGTCTCATGTTCCTCCGTGAAAAGTACTGGATAATTAGATCCAGACAAAATGTGAAACGTTGTTATAAGAAACTGTGTACTGTATCAGCGTATACTCCCGACCAATGCGACAATTATAGCACCATTACATCTATCAAATTCCGAGTGCTAGAGTATTATATTGCTGTATTTACTGAAAATGTAATCGGAATGCTACTAATGTTGTATCTATTTTAATTAATTGCTATTTAAAGTACTGTATATTTAATATTTAAAGAAAATTTAAATTCTTAACAAATACATATAAAAGTAAAAAAAGCAAATTTAAATTCTAAAAAAAAAAAAAAGCCAAAATAATTTAAATAATTTTAAAAAATGTGCAAACATGTAAAAGATTTAATTCTCGAACTAATCTACAATATCATTTAAATTCAGAAGCATAAGCAAA